AAAGCAATATAACGAATAGAGCATTCATAGTGTGGCGTTTAATGCAAGATGCAACAAGAATATTACAGAGAAAGATGCCTATAGCTAACTGTATCATGTTCAGACTACTTGTATCCTCAAGTCAGCTCAGCAACACCATTCTTTCTCGGTACCATCGAATTCAGCAGATTATTAGCTTTCAAAAAAGTATGTATATGATCGAGTGATTTTGCATACTTCTTTTAGATACAGCTCAAATGATAGTCAGCAGTGACCGGTTGGAGATGAGTTGATAAAAAAGGATTATGGGTTCGTGAAGTGAAAGAATGCACTCTATCAGATAACAGATTTATCAGATATGATTCCACACCATGCATAGTCATCGTCATTGTTACAATTGCTAATTGCATTATTATTATTCATTGAGAACACTGTATTTTGGTTACAACTAGAAGTTGATAATCACATTTGTTCATGTTCAATGAGTCTTCCGTGATTTTTTTTTCACAAGGTCCCGGTCATTACTTCAATTTCCGTTGATGTCGCCAAGTTACTATTTGACCATAGATCGAAAAAACCTCTGAACTGGAATACTTCAATTCGTAAACTCAAAAATATGGCTTTAGCAAGATACTTCTGGGAAACAGCATATCACCAATCAAGCATGATTCAACGGCTCGATGTATGTCAACGTCAGTAGGCCTCCAGTCTATTTGCACCGTAGAATCCTGCTGCTATAATATCTTTTCGCAACGCCACATCTTCAAGTACATCTACGCCTATATACAGTGAATTCAGCTCGCTGTACCCTCGACTGTTGCCAGCAGCGATTTTTTTTTCAATACGATGACCTTTAGATGATCCAGCACTTCTTTAGATCTCGAATGTTGTTGGTGAAAATGCGTTGGGTACGAAGATACCATTTGGAGTACTAATCATACTCTCACTGTTATTGCTTTGAATTTATACGGCTGATGCCTCTTTGCGTTACCGAAAATTCGGCACCATTCACTTATGACGTCCGCAAGAAATGGACAATTTTCAGATGCTCGTCTCCAGCCCTGCTTGTGCCTGTTAAGTTTGGATTCGAACTCGTTCCCTGTGAAAGTTAATGACTTCATGACTTCTCAATACCTAACTCATCACTAAATCACATCCTGATTCTCTCATCTTATATTCCATTTTCATGTTTGATTCACTTGTCGTTTCATCCATCTACACCACAAACGTGCATCGTACCGAACTTCTTTCCTCAGTTTCTTTTGCCATCCTCGTAATATCGCTACCATTCCATTCTCAACGTATTTCATTACTCTCTATTCATTTCTGCTCATCACATCCTCGTCTCACCTTGTTTTTCAACAGAGATGATCGGTGAGTAGTGATTCGCCACAGTGCCACATACTTGTCACATGTTTTCATTTTAACTTAAGAATTGAATCATATGTTATGGCTCGCTATCGTATGGTGATTGTAGGGCATTTTATTTTTGGAAACCGCTAAGTGCTTGCCGAGAAGCAAATTAACGATTTGGACTCTCGAATTGTCGATAATATCACCCACCATTTTTTTTCAATTATATCCTTCTTTTCATCAGTGTATTATTGTTATCTATTGAAATTGTTATTTGTTTAATTTCTAACGTTTTTCTGTTGTCAGTTATTAGCATCGGTACGAAAGACGGCTATCTCGGTCGTACGCATATAGTTGATTAATTGCTATTCGGCGCCGCTACTT